ATCTTCCTTGCTGAATGCAATTTTTCCCAAATGTATAATTCTGTTGCATTTGCTTCATCTCTCTAATGCCATTCCAGCTCAATTCCTGACTTCCCCTTTGGTACTGTACTTTCCCTGAGTGGAAGAGCTCCCTGTATGAGCAGTCACTATGCGCATCAATAATCCTTGTGACGTCACTGATGAATCTCCCCAAGGGTGGTATTTATTTATTTAATTGTCAGAGTTGTGTGACTACATGAGGCCCTCTCTACCTTCATATCACAACAAGGGGATTTTTCACGGAAAACAGATTTACATCTCAGGTACTTAACTCCTTTTTTGGTCTTTTGTTTCTTAAGGGGCTGGGTTTTGTGCACTTGGCAATGTTGCCAACTCTCATGATTTTTGGCATTGTTCTTAAAGTCTATGCTTCAGGAATGTGAAAAACGTAGCCCTTTCTTTTATATATATTTTTGTGTGTGTGTGTGTGTGTGTGTGTGTGTGTGTGTGTGTGTGTGTGTGTGTAAAAGAAAAAGCAAGTTTTTCACATTCCCAACTTGGCAATGCTGGCCAGTACGTAAGAGTAAAGGACCAGTTTGCAGGATGTGGATACTTGGAGACTTTTCAGCAGGTTCTTTTAACTGGGGTGGGGATGGGGGAAGGTCTATTCAGAAACCCTTTGGCTTTAACAGGAAGGTAAAATTAAATATGAGATGCTGTCTCCCCCCAGTGTCACCATATGTCTTTTTTCAGTGTGATTTTTTCAGTGTGTGTGTGAATTATGGGTGTGTGCAGAAATTCTTCATGCATGTTTTGCAGCACTGTAATTTAGACCACTTTTGGTAGCACTATCAATTTGCATCTCTATTGTGGGGGGTGGGCGCCTCTGAACCTCCCTGCACTTTCCAGGCTAGGCAGCAGGGGGCGCTCTACAGCCTCACCGATTCACACAGATTCACAGAAATTTAGCTGGAGGAGGCTGCAAACAATGGCAGACCAGTGAAAACGGTGGAGCTGGGATGAGAAGCTGTCACTCAGTTGGCACCGCTTCTGCCACAGGCTGGGCAGCAGATCTCACCCAGGCTGGCAGCCCAGCTCCAAGCGTCTGGTCCCCAGCCATGCAGGGTCTCAGGGTGTGTGTGTGTGTGTATAGTAGTTTCATAGTTTCATAGTTTCTAGGGTCGGAAGGGACCTGAACAGATCATCAAGTCCAACCCACTGCCATGGGCAGGAACAAGTGCTGGGATCATAATACCCCAGCCAGATATCTATCCAACCTCCTCTTGAAGACCCCCAGGGTAGGGGAGAGCACCACCTCCCTTGGGAGCCCATTCCAGAGCCTGGCAGCCTTAACCATAAAGTAATGCCTCCTGATATCAAGGCTGAACCTGCTGTCAATCAGCTTGCGGCCGTTATTCCTTGTTATCCCAGGTGGTGCCCCGGGGAACAGAGCCTCACCTATTTTCCGCTGGTCGCCCTTGGTGAGTTTATAGACAGCCACCAAATCCCCTCTGTCTTCTCTTGTGGAGGCTGAATAGATTCAGGCCCTTTAGTCTATCTTCGTAGGGCCTGGCCTCCTGCCCCTTGACCATGAGGGTGGCCCTCCTCTGGACCCTCTCAATGCTAGCCACATCCCTCTTGAAGTATGGCCTGACCAGCACTGCATAGAGTGGAAGGATCACCTCCCTGGACCTGCTTGTGATGCATCTGTAGATGCACGACAAGGTGCGGTTAGCCTTACTGACAGCTTCCTCACATTGGCAGTTCCTGTCCATCCTGGAGCCAACAATGACTCCAAGATCCCTTTCAGCCACTGTATTGTTGAGAACAGTGTTCCTCAGCCTATAGGTGTGTTGCTGGTTCCTTCTCCCTAGATGCAGTACCTTGCACTTGTCTGCGTTGAATTCCATCCTATTCTCATCCACCCACCTCTGTAACCTGTCTAGATCTAGCTGGATTCTGTCCAACTAGGGGTGTGTGTGTGTGTGTGCATGTGCGTGTGCATATGTGTGTGTGTGTGTGTGTGTGTGTCTCACCTGTGGCATGTCCCCCGATCGCTGGGAGTGGGCACTATGTCTGCCATAAGGCTGGGCAGCAGCTCTTGCCCAGCCCTTCTCTAAGCCTCTAAGCCATGCAGGGGGAGAGGAGGAGGGGGAAGTGTGCGTGCGTTCATGTGCGTGTGCATATGTGTGTGTGTGTGTGTGTGTGCATGTGCGTGTGCATATGCATGCATGCATGCATACATGCATGTGTGTGTGTCCCATCTGTGGCATATCCCTCTCATCCTGCCCCTCCCCCCCACCTCACTGGGAACAGAGCATTAACAAAGCTTGCAAAGCCCATGGAGTACTTGGGGAATCACAAGAAATTTGACGAGTGTACAGAGCACTGTAGGTTGCTAAAGTATTCTAAAATACATAGTTAATTTAACAATGGTTTATTTAAAGCACTCTACCCATTTTTAAAGTGCTGTAAAGCCATACACTTCTGTTAAGTTACGGCAATAAAGAGCTTTAAATGGCAGAAAAAGCAACTTCAGTACACACTCAAAGATGTTAAATGTGGATGACTTCTGCCACAACGCTGCCTTGCAGAATGCTTCATAGAAAAACTTGCAGTCTTTCCCACCCCATCTCCAGCTGATTTCTAAAGTTTAGCCATTGGCATTTCTCTGAAAATGTGCAAGATGTGCATAATGTCTCCGTACATGCACATGCACACACGCACATGCACAGAAACCTTTGAGAGTAATTCTGAAAGCCCTGCAACCAGCCTGCTGTGACACCCCTTGCTGTTAGGTCAGCAAGGGGACTGCTGTGGTCCCCTTGCTGACCTAACCTCTGTGGGGGTTTGCTTTGCTTTACTTCATTTCAGGACAGTGCTGAACCAAATGCCCCCTCCTTCCTCTCTCTTGGCCCTCTCTCCCAGCTTCTGACTTGCACACCATGTTCACGGTCCTCCCATTTAGATAACAGATGCAGACATGTGAGTGAGGGACATCCCACTAAATTCCTTATTCCTCCTTGTCCCATCCCAGGAAAAAGATAAGGAGGCTACTTGTGCCCTATGCTATTATTTGTCTTGTCCTCCTTATTTTTTGTTTTTGTCACCTGGACCCCACAAAATGTAATGGCATCCCTTGCACAACAAGGATGCAGGACTCGTGTTTCTCCTCTGAGAGGATTTGACTTTTGCAAAGTTTTTGGTTTACTGCTAGGTTATAAATGACTGTGGTTAATAATTACTTTAGTAACTTTACAGTCCTGAAAGCTTCCTGGGCATCTTCCCTAGAGATTCACCTCAGTTCCATGAAGTCAACAAAATGAGACCACGATAGCTACACTCTCAGATAACTGTATTTTGCTTTTCCGGTTACACCAACAATAACAGGCTGAAGTTACAGAGGGCAGCAGTGAGCCACTGTGGTCTTCTATGCACTAGTGGGACTCAAATCCTGTCAGCAGAGCCACAAACCTGATTTTTTTTTTCTTTTTCACTCCTAAATTTCAACTAAAACTGTGAGGAATTAGCAGGGCACAGGCAGCTTTGGTGTGTATTCCATGGCCTCTATTGCCGTACTAATCTACAAAAAATGATTAACCTATGATCAATTATTTAGCTAATGCTCATACAGGAATTCTAGTAAATAAGAAGTCTCTGTTTTAAGGACAGGCTGACAATATTGCATGTGTGTGTGAGGTACAGAACCATATAAGGTTCAAAGAGACATTTTTGCATTCAAATCTTGCTCTGTGTAGCAAAAGCTCCAGGTTGTTAACAGGGCAAAGTCCACTGAGATTCAATAGTACCATTTTATCTGCATTACTGCAAGAAATGAACCCAGTGTGCTGAATGCAGGATGGATCAAGGATGACATAGAACTGCTCTCTAGAGCTGCTACCCTAGGTCTGGTGGAGAGGTTAGTAGCCAAAAGCCATATCACGTTTGTGTTCAGATGCAGCAACATCAATGGCCCTTGCAGAGATTTTAGGTTCTATTTTTACCAGTGTGCAAATCCTGAAAGAAAACCCATGATGTATGGGGAGGGGGTGGAGAGAAGGGGCTTTTCTACCTTTTAGCCTATTAGTTAGGGCACTTGCCCACAAAGTGGGAGACTCAGGTAAGCTCCCCTAATGTAGAGGGAGTTTGAACCAGCTTCCTAGGAAAGCACTCTAACCACCAGGCCATGGGCTAGGCATTGCCAGGAGCATTCTTCAGCCTCCTCTTGAACTGGACCATGAGGAAGCCATCAGCATGATCGTGGATTAGTGAAAGGGAAGTTGCTTTGAGTTCTGCCCCCTACCCCCAATGCTTTTTCTGCACCTTGCATTTAATATTAATTGGATAAAATGCTAGACAGTATTTTATAGGATGGTGTCTTCCACATTGCTGGAAAGCAGATGCAGGCCTGTACTCTTTCCCCTCTGAGTAAGGGCAGTGGGCCTGCAAACTGGGCCTACTGCTGTCTACAGAAGTTCTTCAATCACTCTGCTACTGGACCAAGGGTGAGAGTGCCTTCTTCCTCTTACCAGTCAGGTTTTTCTCCAATCACACATTCAAAAACACATGTTCTTAGGAAATCTTATTCTGCTACGTGGCTATAGCGGGGCCTTCTGAGCATGTAAAAAAGCAAGTATAGCTACAAGAGTGGAGATAGGATCTAAAATCTGCGTACCTGCCCAAAATGGAACTTAGATGGCTAGGTAAGTAGCACTCAGGTTCTTCTTTTGTAGGTGCATAAAAACAAAATAGGACTTAGCCTTGGGGGAGTCTCTGATTTACCCCCATGTCCTCCCTTGTAGCTGGTCCCTTTATGGAAGTAGCAAGAAGATTCTGGATCTTGCTATTGTCTGTCCTCTACATGCCCCATCCAGATGCTATGCACCTGTGATGGATTTCAAGTGTTTTTCTTCTTTAAAAGGGACAGCCTTCCTGCGCTCGGCAGCTGACTCTTAAAAACAGCCTCTCTCACAGCAGCTATCTTAAGTGGAATATTTCTAGTAAACAGAGACCAAGGCCACTTTGACAAAGGAATCTTTATTGCATAAATAAAGCCCTAAATATGCCTTTTGTGTGTATAAAAAGTCAATATCCAGCTCAAGAAAGAATTACTTTGTGGAGTGTTTTATTCCTTCGCACACATCATTCAGTTCTCCCAGGCACAGTCCAAGCAAGCTGCCAAGTGTCAAGAAGTCTGAAGAGAGAGAGAAGAGAAAAATAATTACCAATGGGCAAGCTAGTGAGAAAAGCAAAAGGTTACATGGTATGTTGCATGAGCCAAATCTACTTTTCCATGTGGAAAAAATCAGGGCTGAAGCAAGACACAATGCTCTGCAGCTTTGATACCTTGGGGATAACACAGAACAATCTTGGGAGTTGAAGTGTTCATTTCTCCCCCAAAGCCCCCTTGTGAAGACATTAGCTCTCCAACACTATAGGTGTCCCAGTATTTCTGGGGAGAGCTTGATGGCACCATAGCATAGACAATGGTACTTTTTTCCCCCTTTTCCCTCCTCAGTAGTCCCTTGGCTTCCCTAATCTATCACAATAGCATGGTTCCTTCAGAAAGCAACACTGCAACAAGGCTCTGGAACCAAAGAACAGGTGGAGAATGCCACTGTTTTGGCTTAACTCTGTTCCCTCCAATAGTATTTTTACTACTTGCTGAGCACCAGTAAGTTTGCTCCTATCTAGTAGCACTGACTGGAAGATGTAGTTCCCATTCCAAATCCGACAAGCCAAGATGCCAGACAATGCAAAGCCTTTAACCCTAATAGATCTGCCCTTTGCACCAAGATATCTCCTTCTATGTACAGACGTTAAAAAAGCCCAAGTTGGAGTTGATCTAAGTTATGCTGTTTTCTGTAAACGGCATAGTTTAGATCAGTAGTGAACCAAACACACGTTTGCCCTGGGGGTGGGGAAGGATCTTAGACCGGGTTCCACCATTTTAAAACCAAACTATGCGTGCCGAACTTCTGTTCTATTATAGGTATAGACTGGTTTCCAATTACTTAAACCAGTAACAGTGTAATGTCTGTACCTGGTTGTGGCAACAGCTCCACGGGTTTTGGAAGCAGCCAAGTGGTACTGATCAGTCTAAGCATGAGCTAACCGGGGTATGTCTACATGACACAAGGCAGTATCAGGTTGAGATACCTCAGCCAGCTGTTGTACAGCTAGCCTGGGATGTCTATACAGAACTGCAATGTGCCCTATAGATGTACCCTATAGGTGGAAAACGATGTGCTTTTGTAAACTCAACCCACCACAACAGCCAGACTTCCCACACCTCACTAGTGCTGTGTCCCTATGGTTTGCATGGAGAGCCCTTCCATCTGTATGCCACCTCTGTCCACCAGCCCTTGATGAGAAGATGTATTTATGTTTAATAATAAAAAGAAATCTTTTCCCCAGAACTTAGTAAATCTTTATTAAGTCAGTGAAACAGAATGTTCTTCCCTGTCTTCCTGGTATATAGACCAATCGTTCACAGACATCAACTGAAAGTACCACACATACAAGGAATTCAAAACACTTTCCGCTTTATCTTTCTGTCTCTGTCAACAACCATCCTCCCCCCAGAGTACAGCACTACACAGCAGGGGCTGCCATGCTTATGCTGGTTATTAGTGCTCAACAAGCAGTAAAAATCCTGTTGGAGGGAGAGGAGTTAATCCAAAGTAGCTTATACTGTTTTCTCCTCACTGTATCTCAGGGATTTTCCCTTCCTGCTCCACTTTGACAGCTATCATGCTGGTATTTCTATCAGATCCACAATGTTGCCAGATGAGTCCCTGTAGGTATGTGTGTGTGTGTGCTTGGTCTGTGGCCTCTTTTAAGGTTGTTCCTGAAGAAAAGGTGCTGCCTGTCTGCTCCAGCTCCCAAACCCAGAAAGGCAGTGGTGAGGACAGTACAACAGTGCCCACCACCACTCTTCATGGGAGTGTCAAGGTGGGGGCTCCCATGGAAAGTCCTTAACACCTCAGTGCTAAACTTGGAACATGGTGAGCAAGAATGGGTGGGTGAATGGGTAGGAGGCACTTGTTTTTTGTGGCGGGGGCAAACTCAAGAGCAGAAACAGTGTAGACTGTATCCCAAAAGCTATATTTCCACTTACGTTCTTTGTTGTCTTTAGGCCTAATCTATAACTTGGATTGCTTTAGTCAAGCAATTGCAAACCCCTATGGAGCCACTCTCATTTCAGTTTGGGTGGCTTGTTTCTAACTAGCTTAAAGCTGTTTTTAATGGACTTAGACCTGTAATAAACCAGACTAACTAAAGTGGTTTAAAAATCACACCTTGAACTTAAGTGATGTGAATCGGCATATAGAGAAGCTGGCTGCCCACACTCCCAGGGCAGGGGAAAAAGGGGGAACGTGCCCTCCAGATCTGTGTGCAGGGCAGGGACAGGCTCTGTTGAGCTCAGGCTCCCTGCCCTGAAGCCCTCCCCCTGGGGCCTCCATGGCCCAGTGGGCAGGACCCAGCTTGACAGGGCAAAGCGGGGCCAGGCAAGGAAGCTCCTTGCCACTGTAAGCCCCACGCCCTGCCGAGGCACCCAGCAGCAGCAGGGGCAGCAGTACAGTTTGTGCCCTTCACTGCTGCCAGGAGGGCAGGGGGCATTTCAGCAGGGTGGCACGCTCTTGCCGTGCCGCCCATGGGGGAAGGGGAAGCCGGGCTCCCTACTCGGGCCGCAGCACCCACTGCCTCCCACAGGCAGCATCCAGGGCTTGGGCACTGCTGAGGGAGGCAGGGGGCTATGCACCTGGATCCCTGGCCCTATAGACCTGGCAGCTGGGGGCCCCCTACAGTAGGACTGGGTGGTGTAGGGCACTGTGGGTGGAGGATGAGGGGCACCAGCAGGGCCGGGGGCCTACAGGTGGGGAGTGAGGGAGACCAGCAGGCCCTGGAGTCTGTGACTGGGGTGAGGGACAACAGTAGGGCCAGGGGGCTGTGGCTTGGGAGAGAGGAGCCTGGACATGCATCCTGGTGAGTGAAGGGGGCAGGTGGAGCTCTGATTTTCCGTGTTAAAAACCCCCAAATCAAATGCCAAAATGCATAGGTATTTAGAATTTATTTTATTATAGTGATTGAGGCACTGGTAGGCTTCCAAATTGCTTTAAAATTGTAAATATCTAAATAAAACATTGTGTTCAACTTATACCTATATACATAGTGGTGTTTCATTTTAATTGTGGATTTGGGTTTTTTATCAAATAATTTGCAATTTTTTAATCAGAGAAAATCAGGAATCCCTAGACTTAACTGAACTTCTGTCCCAGATCCTCTCCAGATTCAAGTTAACTCATAGTCCCCCAGCATCCCAGGATGCTTTGCACCTCCCCTGCAAACTCCCTCTCGCAGGGTGGGTGGGCTAGCCTTGGGCCAAGCTTCAGCTGAGCAGGGAGGCATCCTCTAGCTTCTGGCTTGGGCCACTGAAGGCATGCGGCTGCATTTCCAGAATCCAAAGTGAATGTTTGTTCACTTGCTTATCGGTTCAATCTACGCACCTTAGACTAACCTGTGAAGATTGAATCAATTCAGCCTTGGGCTTCTTGACTGTCTGTACTTAGCCTTAGACTCTAAATAACAGACTCTGATACTTTTACCAGTATGACTAAAATTCTCAATACTGGGTTTGACTGTGCAAAGTACCAAGCATCCTCACTTCCCTCCTAAACTAGTGGGAAGGAGAATGTGCACCATCTCTAAGAACTCAGTCCAGACCTTTAACAACTGGGAACTCCTAAAACCTCCCAGGAATGGTTCTGCTTCATTCCAGTCAAATGCAAAAGCCACTGTGTAGCATAACTTGTTTAACACGTCTGTCTGGGAGGACAGTTTGAGAGATGAGTTGGCTGTTCCAGCTAACACACTTGGCAACACATAGTATATTTAAGTTAAATTAAATCTTAGGTTGTCTCTTGGGCTAAGTACAGACAGTCAAAAAGCCTGAAGCTGAATCGATTCTGGGACAGAAGTTCAATAAATTGATTTAACCTAAATCAGTTAACTCTGATACAACATCCATCCAGTAGAGGTACAGCGATACATTGGTTCATATTGTATCAGCACCAATAGAAGGAAAATTGACATTATCAGCAATCAGCTTTTTTTGGCTGATGTGGGCAATAATATTGCCGATAAATGCTCTGTGCACGTGCACAGCCACAGCATGTACACAACCAGGAGTACAGCCTGGTAACTTGGAGAGCAGTGTCCAGCTGGTAAGTCTGTGGGGGAAAGGGGTGTGGGGCAAGGAAGGGGCACGGGGGGGGAGGGGGGGAGATCACGGCCCCTGCGGTAAGGGAGGGAGTGGGGCTGGGGTAGGGCAGGCTCTGCCCAGCCAGGGTGTGGCAGGGCAGGGCATGAAGCTGCGACTCATCCAGGGGTTGCAGTGGGGGAAGGCAGTTCCCACCACTGCGTGCACCCCTGGTGGAGGCATGGGGGGCACATGTCCCCCACATCTGTGTGCGGGGCAAGGGCAGGCTGCTGCTGCAGGCTGAAGCCAGGCTTGCATCAGGCTCTTTCCACCAAGGGGGAGGAGCCAGGTGGGTCGGGCGGCGGTGCTGGGAGGGGGAGCTACAGCAAATTATGGGGTGGCTGTAACCGCTCTCTGTAGCCACCCCTTCCAACACCACCGCTGCTGCCCAGCAGGAGTCTGAGGGCTACAACTTAATCTCTTGCAGGTCCCATGCAGCCTACAGGTCAGCAGCTAGATAACCCTGTGCTAAAGTATTGCAAGAACTGTTTGCGGCTACAACGTAAATGGTGATGATAGCTATAACACTGGAATCAGACTGTATCTGAGCCACAGTATAATGGGCTTTAAAAAGATAATGTCATAACTCCACATTAATACATCAAGTAATGTTATACCTCATGTAAAGCTTCAACTTTCCTTCTTGTCTGCTTCCTTTTTCAGCTTTTCCCCACGTTCTTTTTTCATTCTTTCTTCAATCTTTTTTCTCTGGTATATTTTTACACCAGCAAAAGCCAAACAAAGAATTAATGTTTTAGCAGCTAAAATGTACATCAACAGGGGGAAATTCTCCAAAGCCTGAAATATAATACAAGATGTTTACACAAAGTTACTAGAACACTTGAGCAACTGTGACATTTAAAGCAGATCCATGAGATACTAGCAGCCCTGACAGTGCTGTTGTTTAAGGCTATGGTAATGCAACTGATACTTTTTTCCCATGGGAAATTTTAGACCACGTAGATCAGCATTCAAAATTACTTCCCTTGGATTGTGTGAATTTGCTTTAACTGTGTTCATATCCCTTGTGGTAGTGCTGGAGAGATCTTGAAGCCACAATGGTCCAGGAAACATGTGAGAGGCAAGGATATTGTGGGGGAATTATGTGTTATGGAGTGACTACATGGTTGGGAGGGATTTTAGATAAGCTTTTGAACCTAAAGTAATCTTTTTCTCATCCAATAAGAGATATCCTTCCCCCCCAAAAAAATATCCCTCCCTTCAATATCCCTATGCTTTATAGAAAATGATGGCAAGACTGCTGTGGAGGAAAAGAACACATTTTAAGTTACTACCTTAGGATACTTGCAAAAAGTGACCACTGGGCGTGTCTACACGTCACTGTATGGTGACGTTGTTGCTGCACCATTGTTACTACTGCCTTTTGGAAGTACTAAAGCACAGCACAGGAACTGCCCGTACTGCAGCATACAGGCAGCGCATGCTTCAATTTGCCCAGTTCGCTGCCATAGCAGCACACGGTAAGTGGGGAGCATGCCACTATGGCAATGTAGCTAGCAATCATGTGGAGACTCACGTAATCACTATGTCACCATAGCGCGTCGTACGGCCACGTAGCGTGCCATAGGGCGCTGTGTAGATGTGCTCACTGGGTGATAATTGTGAGTGTTCAGAGCTGAAACCTAACTCTTGCACTCAGTTCAGATTCTGACATTGGACATGAGCAAGTCTGCCATCCTGAGCAGTACTCAGGAGTATCTGCTTTCCTCGAAGTTAATGTACTCTACAGAAGATATGGCATTGTTTCCAATGGAGCTGGGATTTACCCTGTGATCCTGAAGATATAATTATTTGCTGGAAATATTTATACATTATAACTCTAGATAGAGTCTATGTCATGTACCTTCCTTGTAGCCCATTCCTTGAGTTACACTAGTGTCTACTCATCCTTGGAGCATTTTATATGTATTGATGACCATCTTATCAGGGCCTGACAGTAGGTAGCTGCTCAACAGTATCAAAGGTGAGCTCACCAAGAAATGGCTAATGTTGGTTTCAGGCCAAGGTCTTTATATATGTTAATTTGCTGTAATTGTAGTGTGAAGGCAAATCAGGAACTACAGACGGATATCCACGTGTGAAACTGATGAACTCAAGGGTTGAGTCAGTGGCTTTAGCTTGTGGATTGTATGCCTGTGTTTGATAAATCACAGACACTGTCTTCTCATAAAGTGTCTTGGATGGTGACTGGAACCTATAGATACTGGAGTTTTATAAGGAAGGTAAATAGCACTTTGGGTTCACTCAAAGCTATATTTTCAAAGGCCTGCAATAAGAGTTGTTAGGCTTTTGATAACATGGATATGATAGGTCAGTCACTGAAACACAGGTAGATGTATATTTAATTTTCTCATGAGAAGGAATAGGCCTTTCTGACTACCATGCAGATATCGTGAGCCCAAAAAGAAAATGAAAAAATTACTCCATCCTTCCTCTCTATGACAAGGGGCAGAGATCACCCAACCTTGAAGAGCTTTCATCTCATTTCCTTGCAGGCATTCCAGAAAGGAGCTATGATGGATATGCCCATATTACCTCAGACTACGCTGATGGGACAATATACCTTGCCCACATGTTTCTGTTCTCTACATGCTAAAAATATGTAATATAGCTGCTAGAGGAGTACCATTGGGTGGATACCAATAAACACACCCAAGACTGAGAGCAGTATTGGAGACACCCTGGGAATATGCCAAACAATGGCTATATTATATGTTTTATTTTACCTGGGATAAGTCTATTATTGCTGCCCTACACTGGTAATAAAGATGAGCTGGGAAATACCTTCAATACATTCTGATTATTTTTAATTGCTTTTCTGTGACTAAAATACAGTTTTCCATAAAAGAAGAGCCTGCCAAACAACCTTATGTTTCTGTGTTGAACTGCCTCCTCAGGTTACAATGACCTCTGTTTCCAGCCAAAAGAGTTCAAAACTTTATTGCAAAATATTCCCAATGAGCTGCTTGTTAATAAGATACAGACCATATGTTATCTCCACAAAAAACTGCCTGGCCAATCATTTTGACTTATGTTTGAATCTTGGAAAACAGAAAAACAAGCAAAACATTATAGAATTAGTTAGTGGTTGCTTATTACTACAATATTTACTAGAATCCAAGACATTATTTTTTCCCCTTTCAGGACTTGGGTTTTCCCCTTTCAGGATGTGATGGATCTTGGATTCTAGTACAAGGTTGGTTGGGAACAGGCAGCTGCAGTGTGACCCCAACTCAGACTCAGACTCAGGTTTAGACCCACAGCAACAGCCCCACCCCCAGCACATGCCCTACCTGCCCCTGACACCTCCCCCTGGCTATGTCTGCCCACGTGCCTCCCCACTGCTGTCTGCACCCTGCCTCTCGCCACCCACTAGCCACCTATGCCTCCCCACAACTGCTGCTCCCTGGCCAGGCCAGGGCTGGAGCCAGTATATGCTTAGTACCTCGGGCCGGGACCGGGGCCAGCTCTAAGAGTAGGAGTGGCAGGGGCGGAAGGAGATTGCAAGGAGGGGACAAACAGCAGGGAAGAGCAGGTGGCAGGGGAGCATAGGCATGGGGGTCAGCAGCAGGGGAGCAAGGCACAGTGAGGCAGGCACCACAAGAGCATAGGCACTGTGGAAGGCAGGTATTGGCAGGGGAGCAAGTGGTGGGGCAGCAGGTATGATGGGGTACAAGCATCGCACGGTGGGTTCAGAGGCAAGGGGGTGCAGGCGGAAGGGAGCAAGTGGATTGAGGGACAGGCAACCGAGGGCAAGATGAAGGGGGACAAGGGGTAGAGGTCAGGCTGTTTGATTCTTCCATTGCCGGCCTACCATGGTGGGGGGTGATAAATATAAGACAATCCTCCAATAATTAGATTTCATACATGGAAGATTATAACAAAGTTATAAATTTCCTATGTGTAGAATCTAATTCTCAAGGGGTTGTCTTAAATTCTGAATGGTCTTGGATTCCAGTAAATACAGTAATGCTCTAGTCAACATCGCCTACCACTGAAAGTCAGTAAAACATGGATACCATATGGGATTGGCTCTCTAATTCCCTGAAGATGTGGGTTTACACTAGAAAAGGTGAGATGATTTTCAGCGGTGAGTGTAGCTGAACTGGCCCTAAGCATAACTGCAAGTGTAGGCAAAGCCCAGCTTGGTTCAGCATGATATTACTAACACTAACTGTGTTCCCAGAAAATGTGTAGTTCTTCAAAGGGAAACAGGGCCTAGGTAAGAAAAGTTTACATAACTAGGGACAGTAAAAAAATGAACGATATTTAATCAAATCTCTGCAATGGGTCAGTATTCGATTTTTGAGAGGAAACCAAATTAAGTCCAGAATCCTGCAAATATTCTGCACGTGCACAAATGTTTGTGGAAAATCCTCCTCCGCAAGGCACAGATAATGAGTGAGCCTTGCACTAGCTGATGTTTCATTCAAAGTCCAAACTCCTAGAGTCATGTGACCCTGTGGAAATCTCAGGCTTCATTTTTAAAGAAAAGTCAGCTGCCTAAGTCAGAGTATGAGTGAGTTTTCTCAAAGAGTGAAGTGAAAGGTTCAGAAACCAGAATGCAAATAAAAACCCAAATTCTCTTCTTACATGAAAATCTCATGCTCTAAATTTCAGGACTGTTTTGTAGCCAGGCTCATTATTCACTTTTGAGGTTGGGATCAGCAATACCCGACATCCGCTTCAGCCTTATTAAACAATGATGTTACAGAGTTGTGTAACAAAGAACTTTAAAACAATCACAAAGGCAGAGGACTGGACAACCGATAACAGAGAATTCAATTAGAGAAATGTATTGTGGATGCTAGAATTTCCTGCCTGCTATTTTCAAGCATTAACAGGCCTATGTAATTGGTGCTTTCTTTCCGCTACCCAGTGCCAAGTAACTTGACAGTTAAGACTTACTGGAAATGCTAGTCCCTTGAAAATCAGCACTGCTAGTATCTGAATATTAAATACCAAAAATACTCTTATAGTACTATTCCATTAAGGTTAGCTATTTAGAAAGGTATGAACTGGAAAGCGCTCAAGTTTAAGATTCTCATAATACCAACCAGTTTCCGTGGCACATACTACCTCTGAAATTAGACTATCAATCTACAACTGCAGCCCAAGCCCACCAAGAATTTCATCCTCTATTATTCTCCCAAACTGTAAGAAGTCATACTGTCTTTAAACCCAGAGATATAATGTGGTGTAACTGTAGTCATCACCCTGTCCGCACCCTCCACCACATGAGCGACTGGTGCCTCCTGAGTCAGGTTGAGGGGGTGGGAACTTGCAGGCAGTCAGCAACCGGGGAGGTGGCAGGGGTCCCCTGCTGATCGATTCTGCCGATCCACAACCGGCAGCAGCGTACCACTGGCACTTCCAAATCAGCAGGATCAACTGCGTGGGGACCGCTTCTCCTGGCACGCTCCCCAACTGGCACTGTCAGGGGGGCACCAGTGCTCTCACCTGCCCCCCCTGTCCAGGAACGCTGCTGTGAGGGAGTGCACCAGTGCTCTCGGGGGTGCATGTGCACCCCCTACACATCGTCACTGCTCCACTGCTTACCCACTGCCCTCCCTAAGTTTTGCTACTGTTTAAACTGTAGCTATATAACGTCCATAAAGATATAAATGATCCTGGTGGTTAGAACTGCTGTTTTGCTAAATATAATTTGATTGCCTACATTGCAACTGTTAACATACTTTGTGCTGGGCTGTACCTATGTGCACGTGGATCAATTACTGAGTCAAACTTATGCATGATGTCACCTGTTACACAGAGGATGAATGGAGGTATATGATTGAGATGGGAAGCCGGTTCCCAACCCAGAGCATTTATAGCCCAGGTAAACAGACAAACAGGGTGGGGCATCTGCTGTGCAGAGATAAAAGGTGCCTATGGACAAAAGAGCAGATGCAGAGCCTGGGAACAGAAGCACCACGTGGAATGGGTGAATGCGGAAGCAAGACACAGCCTGCGTCCTGGTTTATTCTGATTCCCATAGCAGCAGTCCTCACTCCCAATACTCCCAAAAAGTAAGCTTGCACAGCACTGAACGCATATGAAAGAAAACAACATTAGCTGTACATGCTCCAGGGGCATGGAGCTGTGGTTAAATCTCCTCAAACCTGAACACACACACTGGCATACAATACATCCAATTATATCATAACACCCCCCTCTCTAACAACAACAGTTTTTCAAGTAAAAATGTCCTCACCCTCCAGTTAAAGGCCACCATCTTGCTTCACTGATGAATTCACAGGTCACTACAGATGCTTGTCAGATCTGTAAGAAACCAATAGGGGTGGATTCATCTGAGGATATAAAAAAAAGTAGTTTAGCCAATCCGCTTGCATTTGACACATCCACAGTCCAGACATCTGACAAGCTCATTAGCCCGTCATGCTGATTAGCCTACTGCTACAGGAGTCCCAAAACATTCAGGAAGGTTCTTGCAGCGAGTGGGTTATTTCATAGCTGCTCGAGTGACAGGAACAGCACCCAGTAGCAGTGCTGCACAGAGCAGAAGGTTGACAGGCCTGGAACAGGTGTTGTATGCTTGCAAGTGGGAGGCCCTGTCTCTTCTCAGCACAGTGGATCCTTGCAGCTGTTCTGTCTAAATACATGATGCAGGTTGCTTTTGTAGGCATGAGGTCTATACATGTGTGCAGATTAAGCAGCCTCATTGTACACTTGAGTTATAGCTGAGAAAACCAGCCCCATCAAAAGCACAGTCGTGGTTCCCAATCCCAGCAGTCCTTTTCAGAGTTTGAATACCCAGAACTAGGATGTCTCTTGTCTTTAGTATCAACTGGGGGGAAATGAAAATGTGGCTATGGTTCTTTTGACAATAAAAAAGCGCCATAAGAATAAGGTTATAAAGCAGGAGAAAACAGAACTAATTGCCATGATTCCCCAAGGTGCCTGGTTTGACTCTCAGCGCTCAGCTCTGAGGCTGAGAAATGCCTGAGAGGACACACATGACCATGAAGCAGCTGCATATAGATGAAATACTGCACTTTGGTTTCTGCCTCTGCTTTCCCACTGGTTGTGAAACTTCCAAATTAAACAGCTTTCTCCACCCAAGCCCTGCCCGTCCCTGAGCTGTCTGCCTATGCAACAATAGACTCACTGTGTGATCTTCAGGAAAAAGACCATAGCTTCATCAGAATTTTATGAGGGGGCTGTGTACTCTTGCAGTGTTGTACAAATAACAACGACAAGCTCCTGACAGCAGCCATTCAGATCTTACTGTAAGACAAAGGAGCCAAGTGTCTTGCCAACTGCCTTCCTCCCAGCTGCAGAAATGTCCTAGTTTTCCCTACCAAAAGGAAGGCCTGCTCTCTTCCCACCACCGATGCTGGGACACTGGCTGTGCTGCAGGAATGGACCACTGATAAACTCCCACAGAAGATCCTTCTGTAGCAAGGGGCTTGAGCTGTCATGCCCTGGAGAGACCAGACTGCCTCTGATACAACTTGGACTGTTGGGAAAAATAAGCATGCCTGTTATACCTAAGCCCCTCGTCCATTCAGATTGGTCAAGAAATGTCTTCTCCATTGGGCCCCATTTCTGAGGATTGTAATTTATACAGTGTGATGAAGAGCAGAACCACTCCACTGACCAGGACACATGATTGACACAAGCAATCCAGAGATAAAAAGGGAGAGAGTGGCTTCTAGTATATATCTGGTTTCCCATCTGTTCTGTTAGCCAGCTATACCGGTCCTGACCTGCCTTTCTGACAATCTACATGCATGTATGCAGGCTAGGATTTGTGGTGTCCCCTTCATATTTCCTACCTTTAATAAAGTATCATAGCAGTTGTGAACGAAGAAGTCTCCATGTCACAAAAAAGAATATTAAGAGAGGTCTACCTTAAAATGCTAGGGCATCTTTACACTTGCTCTGGGGATGGGCAGAGGGGTGCTTTAATTAGAGTGGCCTGACAGCCACTCTAATTAAAGCACCCACAGCGTCTCATGCATTCAGTATCCCCGCACTTAAAAATGGCGGCAGGGCCAGGATGGCATTTGTCAGATATTAACCTCATCATAATCATGAATTACTTAAAGTACAATAGCTTGGGTTGTCTTTTTTTTTAAATATTCTAGAGAGGGGGCTAAATTTGGAGGTTCTAAAAATTCCCTGAATTCTGGAGACAATTAGGCAGCAGGGATCTAGTTATTTCTGGGTACAGGAAAAATTTTTGGGTAGGGAGCCTGAGTGATATATCATAAAGTGCAAGGTGTTTTTGCACTGTTTAAAGTCCATTCTCCTTACAAAATGATGTAAATGTAAATGTAACTGCACTGAAGTCACATATAGGGCAAGTATGTGTATGGGGAGAGGGAAACTCACATGTCCAGGGATCTCTCCTACTCAGAATCTCACCTTCATTCCCTGTTGCAAACTAGCTTTGAAGCCATCTCTATATGTCAGTGCGCACACCAATTCTCTCTAGTGGCTCCACTGATCTCCCTTTGGGTTCTCCTCTTTCTTCATCTTGAGCCAGACTTTGTGAATGTTGGCTGCATCCACAGGCAGAAAAAAAAGGAGTATGTGTATATGTGTTTGAGAGACAGAGAGAGAGAGAAAGGGAGGATTCGCTTTTGCTCTTTTCAAAAGAAACATTTATTAGCACGACTTCATTGGCTGAAAAAAAAAGAAAGTTCACTTACTCTACTTTCAAGGTTGTGGTATCTTTAAAGTGTGCAGGCAAGTAAACAGCCAAAGTTTCATGTTTGCCTTTTCAAAGGCAGATAAGGAAAAGCTCGGAGTTTAAAAACATCTATGCCCAGAGATTATTCGTTGCCCTCAAAACGTAAATTCCCTTGACTAATACAGCAATAACAAAAGGAGACCTGGGCCCAGCATAAGGAAGGTCACCGTTACCTTCACTTGTGAAGGTCTTGCCTTAAGGCATGCAAGGGAGAGCAGGTTCCACCCTGTACACCACCGCAGGCTTCCTGGGCCACGTTCTCCACTGCTGTGCACCTTGGGTATTTGTTGACACAAGTGCATAGCAGGCTTAAAATGCACAAGTGCATAGCAGGCTTAAAATCGTAGGTGCTCATATGGCCTCCATCACTGCAGCAGCATCTCAACATAATTTATCCCCGCAACTTTTCAGTGAGGCAAGATGACTCTGTCCTGCCCACCCCATTTACATATCATAAACTGAAGCACAGACAGGCTAAAACATTTGCCCAAGTCCCCACAGGAAGTCTGTGGCAGCGCAAATAATTCAATGTCAGTGTCTCAGTCCTAGGCCTGATCCAATAGACTGTCCTTCTTGTCTACCTTCACAGCCAAATCATTATCTGCTCGCTCCCCGAGTAAGAAAGCATTACACCTGCTGTGTACACATTTACATAAATACACATGATACAAGGCAGCACAGAAATACCAGCATTTTGAGTCATCCTGGTTGGGGAAAATAGCTTGGCCTGCTGATACCTCTACTTATTCAGCAGTAAAATACAGGATTGATCATACTGTACCTATAAGGCAGAAGGGGCTTTAAGACTTATTCATTAAGGCTCATATAAGATTATCAGCAGGCTTCTAGAAATGCAAAATACATTTCCATTTGGCTGAATTAGGAGCTAGAAGATGGCAGGCTACAACCTGTACTAGAACAATGTGTATCCTCCTTACATCTGGGCAGAAACATATTTTGTCCTTGCCTCTCCCCCTCCTTTCCCTGATTCATGTATTTAAAGAGACAATTGATATATTTTGTAACAGTTGAGTAGGTAAAGTACCCACTGCTGTGGCTCACTTGTTGCACCATGCATCACAAGACACCCTACAGTGGATCTTGTGGGCAGATACAAACCCAGAAGCCTGTCATATCCCAAGAGTCAGACAGAGACACAATGAGACTGTGAACCAAAAGGCAACAGCACGTATCACACAGGATGACAGACTTCAGGACAGCCAGCTCCCTATATATCTGCAGCTCAAACACAGATGCACATCCTGCTCTAGGCTGTGCCGCTCCACTGGGAGGTCAGTGGAGTCCTTCCAGTTCACAGCAAGGCAACTGACAGATGTGTCCCATAATCCCTAACCTAAAATCAATGTTAACGGATTACTCACATCATAAAGCACCACCAAGATCTGCATACCTGGAATTGCAGAAATAAAAGTCCATCTGGCAGATCTTTATTTCATGCTCTGGAAATTAAACAAAGAGCAAAGGGCAATATAAAGAGTCGGCAACTGGGTCAAAATCATAAAACAAAAACCTGTAGCCCTTTAGATTATTAACCTCTGTGTCCCAGGGCACCGCTTCACAATCATATGCCAGATTGCTTTTGCCTGATACAAACCCAGTAGCCTGTCATATCCCAAGAGTCAGACAGAGACACAGCGGCTGAGACTGAGAGCCAGCATTCTTCAAAAGGCAACAGCACACATCACGCAGGCTTGTGGGCCTACCTGTCCTCTTACCACCCACCAGCTTCCCACATCTTCCCAGTGATATTAAGACTCCAGGAGTCTGCTTGCATTTCCCCTACTCACTGACCACCTTACCCACACCTACTCTGCTGTTTTACCCTGCCATGGCCACCTTGGACTCCCTACTTTAAACCCTCCCTCCCTCCCCAACCCCAGTCCTCTGTATCCTAGCCACCCTCCTTCCTCATCACGTAGGGACACCCCTCTGAATTCTACGCACACCGTTTGGGACACTGCTTTTTTTTTTTTTCTTCCAATGCACAGTCATTTAAAATCCTAATTTCTGCTATTTATTTCCTTCTTCAACTTCCAGGGAAACCAAGCAAAAGTGAAACTATGCAGGCCTGGCCAAAGTCAGGTTAGGGTATCAGGCACCAGAACTTGGTAGCGCCGTCTGGGTTCGCTGGCAGTGCAGAGGGGTGAAAAAAAATCAACCAAATGGGCTCCCACTGAATTTTAAAACGACAGCCGACTTTGTTTAGCAGTTGCCAGATGGGGGAGGGAGGGGACTGGTGCTTTGTTTCCTTGTGTGACCGATTGTGGAGCTCAGCCTGTTTCCCATTCTGCCCTGAGAGCAGCAGTGACTCTCTCTCCTCGAAACACACTTCTTTTTGAGCTTGCACGGTCAGGTCAGAGGCCAGCATCCAGTCCCAGATAACCCAGGCTGCTGAGTCATTTGCTGATTTCAAAAACCCCACAGATATCCGAAGGAACAGATCGATACATTACCTTCCAGCAAGCAGCCATTACGCAGGCAGGGCAAGCGAAACCACACTACAGTTCCCCGCAGCCTCATGGCGTGCAAACTACAGCTCCCAGAAGGCCGCAGGCAGGCTGGTAACTCTCCATTCTCCAGCTCCCTTTCCAGCGCAAGCAGTGGCAGGCTGGGAGCACGGGCAGGTTTAACCGCAGACAACCCCAGTGAGTGACTGGTCCTATGGAGTGACAACTGCTGAGGTGTTGCTCATAGAGATCAGGCTCTGGCTCTTGAAAAGAAAGGAAACCCACAATATCTCCTGTTTAAGCCACTTCAGACAGACATCTTTCTAACCTTTGCTTATCTTGCTGGGATCCTATGATCCCCGCTAACTTTCTGCCCCTGGGGCAGGGAGCTGGCCTGGCTGAGCCTCTGGGGCCCCTTCCAGCCCGAATGTCTATGAAATCTAATAACAGCCCTGTGTAGCCTCTCAATAAGGAAGACAAATGCCTTTTTACAAGTGTTTCTGCTGTCTGCTTTTTGAGCCTTAAAAACCAAGGTCATGTGACATTTAAGAACGCTCTAGGTCTGAGTTCCTCACTTGTCTCATCACTCTCTCCCCCCCACATCAGGAATAACAAGAAAAGACCAAAAAATATCCTGTATGGCGCTCTCTGATTTCTTAAAAAACTGCGGGATCTGGGCACCTCCTAATCCTTAGTGGTTTTTTATCCTTTCAATACCCGATGAAGTAGCACATCCATCTCACGACTGGGAAGCTGAAATGGTGCTGGTTAATTTGCCCATGGTCACTTGGGAAGTGTGTAACTGAGCAGGCCTGTCTGATGTGCAGTGAGAGCATGGGCTGTTGTCCACCAAGTAAAGCTAATAGCCCTCCTTAAATCTGGGTGGCCACTAAGTGCATATCAGGTGACTACAGGGGGGTGACCGAGCAGGAAATTGAGCCCTTGTCTCCTGAGCCCCAGTCCAGTACACTGGAACATCACTCTAGGGGAGAAGACAGAAACCTACCCCATTTCCTAGCATGAGGAAAATGATGAGAATGAATCCAGGACAAACTGATCATAAGGAAGATCCAGGCAGCTTTCTTTCTTTTTTTCAAAAAGCTTTTAAGTCCTTGTTCTAATAGAAATTCCATGCTATTGGCCTGGGCAGATACGACCTGATGTTTGGTGGAGTAAAAGGGCACAACTTCACTGAGCTCAGTAACTTACACTTACACTAGCTGTGCCAGTTGATGGCTTTGTCTCTCCATTTCAAAAAGCACCTGGAATTGTTTTTTCATTTAGGTTGGTTGTTTTGTTTTATTGTAAGCCGCTCTGAGCCTTTTGTACAGGATAGGATATGAATTCAATAAATAAATAAATAACCTCCCTTCCCCAGGTCATTGTGAATAAAACTGGTGTTATGTGCCACAGTGGGGATATTATTTTAAATATGTTGAGTTTCAGCCGAACAGTATTCCTTTAAATACAGTGGGAGTGTCTACATGTGCATTAATGTGCCATTGCTCCCACCAGGCTCCATGTGCTATGCACAAATAAACTCTGGAGCTAATTGCTCTGAAGCTTATTGCTCCTGGGTGCATGTTCAAACAGTGCATCTGGAGCAAAAAACTCTGGAGCAACAAGCTCTGGAGTTTATTCATGTGCATTAATTGCACATGTAGACATGCCCAGGATACTCTACTTTGAGCCTTGTGTTAGAAGAACTGTAGAATTCCACCTCAAGAGAGTTAAAGGTGCAACTCCTGGGGCCTGTTCTCAGAGAGGCCAGAAAAAGGAAAACCCTTTAATTATGAAACTTATTATGGTTATGGATTGTTGGGCTGAATCCTATTGCATTAGAGTAAGATGAGCCCTTACATTCAGGCTAAATGGGAGGGCATGCCCATAATGCTCAGTTACAGCGCCAGGCAGCACCATACTGGGCATATCTACATGAAGTGTTTACTGTGGAGTTGTCTAATTAGCTCCAGGGTAAACATCTTGCATCTACACATGCAGGGCTATTAGGTTGCAGAAGCTAATAAACTTGTAATAAATATAAACAACGTCCTACTGTGGAGTTATTTGTTATTTATTGTGCAGCAATGTATGTGTAGATGCTGACCTGGATGTAAATTGTGCCCAGTCAGCACAGCCAGCAGGACCCACACTCCTGCCTGCTGCTTAGCCACATGGGTCAGCAGCTGCAGGAGCCTCATTACCTAGCCAGCTCCTCTGCCACCTGATGCAGCCACCTGTGTCACCCATGACCCCTGTGCCCCTTGCCAGCCCAGGTTTGCCCCCAGACCCTGGACCACACTGCTGCAGCCAGCCAGAGCCTGGGGCTCACGTTCATGCTCTGTCAGCCTGGTGCTGGCACTCAGGCATCTCTGACTGGAGCCTGGAGCTCCCTCTGGCTGCTGCAGGAAGGACTGGAGAGAGAACCAAACAGGGCAAGAGCAGTCGTGACCTAATCTGCTCCTCTCCAGCTCAATTTGCTGCTGTCCGGGGCACACGTGTAAATGCTGTGGGAGTAGTTTACTGCAGTACAAATTGCTCCACAGTCGATTCAGTTGCATCCGTTGCACATGTATACATGCCCACTGAGTGTGCACCTGGCTTGGATAAAGCTTTGCTGCCCTACTGTTGAATTGGGCACACATCAGTAAACTCTGACCCTCAGCATAAATTTATCACAAATAATGGATAGGTCTCGCCTGAAAAATCTGAAGAAGAAAATCCCCCTGAGGCAGACACCTGGCATGGCCAGTTTCAGCTTGAATGGTTAAAGCTTGGCACTGTAAGAAAACAGATGAGACGTTTCAGGAAACATGACCTACAGATGATCCTAGAAGCTCTGCTTATAATTACCAGTATTACCTAGGCACATGTTGTGGTGCTTCACTAACACAGGAGAAGATACAGCCTCGACTTCAAGACCTCAAAAACACCCATTCCCATGAGCAGAAGGCTACGCTTGAGACAAAAAAAAGCACACCTGTATGGCAGGCAGGAAGCATGGATCCTATGTGTAGGATACTGGCTTCCTTCCACCATCTCCTGCACGCGCGTGCACACACACACACACACACACACGCGCACACACACACACACAGATGTTATTGGTGCCCAGGGTCCTAATAGCCATATACAAATTGCAGGGTAAGTATATCCCAGGTGTCCAAATCCCAGACTTCTCCACTGGACAAAAAAAGAAAGGAGGGATTAGCCAGCAGAATATCTTCAAGAGGTAAGAGTTTTACATTTCAAAAATCACATCAGAAAAGGTTTCACTCTCTACCAACTTAAGTCACAGTGGTGACTTTTAAAGTACTGTTGTTACTTTAAAACTGGACTCCTTCGAGCTGCTATATCTTAAATCCTTGCTGTTGATCTGGAACAAGATCAAAATAAGAGCTAATGGAAACATATACAGTAAAGCCAGTGTTTATATTTAATGGATATAGGTGTAATGAATGACCTGCTATGATTTAACATGTAAAATAATTGTTAAAAACATGTGTGTGTATATACTTATATTTTTATTTGCATATGTTTTTTAAAGGTGGGATCAAACTACACTATTTGGATCATGATCCAAATTTTAATCACCTCAAAGTTCATATGCATTCAGGTCTAAGGATTTAGACCAGGAGTGTCAAACTCCTCTGGTCCCACAGGCCAGATAAGTGGCACAGGGTGGGTCCACAGGACAGTTCAGGCCCACAGACCCAGTCCCATGCCCCTTTCCCCAGGAAATATGACCTGGTAGCTGCTGCAGCTGGTCTGGTACCCACACTGTGTGTGGCACAGAACCTGGAGTAGCCAGAACGGGTGCTGCATGTGGTATAGTCCTGTCAGAAGCATATAACACAGATCCCAGGCCAGCCAGAGTGGGCATCCTGCTACACATGGTGCCCATCCCAGCCAGACTGCCACACACAGTGCCCAATCTGGGAACAATATCATACACAGTGCAGTCTTGGAGCTGCCAAGGTGGGCACCTTGTGTAGTATGTATTCCAGAGCAGGCAACGTGTAACTCAGTTCAGGCAGAGAAGACCCTGCCTGTAGTATGGTGCCTGCTCCAGCCAGTCTGGGATCTGCACTATTCACCCCTGGCTAGACTGTGCTACATGCAGAGCTGCTTCTGGCTGCTCCGGGATCTGTGCCACATGCAGTGCAGGTCCCAGAATGGCTGGAGTGACTGCCAGATCTGGTATGTTGGGAGAAGGGACAGTGAAGTGGGTCCATGGGCCAGACCTATGCCCCATGTGGGCCTGCTCAGACCTAAGGACAGGGTTTCACAGGCTTGACCCAGCCCACAAGCTGTAATATTTAACACTCCTGACTTAGATTTAAACCATTCAGATACAGATCCTTATGTGGATTTCAAATCCACTCCATTTTGGGGGAGTTTTTCATTGGAATTGTGCCTTCAGTGCCTCTTTAAACCAAGCAGAATAGAAATCTAAAACAGAATCTTTCCTGGACAACCCACTAAGCAGTCTCACCCAAAGATCTCCCAGTGTGGCAGTAAACTTTATTTTCCTGGAACAATTTATGCCTTTATATCTCTGTATACTCAGCTAATAGTGTAATGGCAACTAAAATCCTTACAAAATCAATAGGCAGTACTTTATGATTTGTCCACTATTACAGTCTCAAATAAGTCAAGGTGAGCTCTTTTTCTCCCTTGCACCAAGGTTTTCATGGATTGTACACTTAAAGTTTTCTCTATTCTGGATCTGGCTCTTATACTTTTCTCCCCAGTCATCCACAATGTACTGATGATATGGGTCATCGGAGTGCTCTTGCCTCTTTGACTTCACCGTGCTGACCAGGATAGCCACAATAATGAAGGAGAACATGCCAATCATCACCATCAGGTACAAGATAACGTAGTTGAAGTTTTCAGCGTTGACTCGTTCTTGTAGTGCATCTTGTTCTGCTGTCATGTTGTTCCTCCAGCCATTCATGTAGTTAAGAAATATCTCTTTGAAAACATTTTCCAATGCCTGTGTGAAGTTTCGTATATCACCCATGTTTCCAGTTCACTGCTACTGAAGATGAAAGGATTTTTTGTTTTAATTTCTGTACCATAATGATGAAAAGATTCACATGCTCAGCTAGTAGAAAATGAAGTGCCAGTTCAGACCACCTGAAGATCTGACCTCAAGTTCCTGAATTTTACAATATATTCAAAGGACAAAGGAGGTCCTTTCCCAACTCTTAATTCAGCTCAGTTGAGATCAAAAGTCCACCTGAGTTGAAATGGCCCATCTGTCCACTGTGACTAAGGCAGACCAATTTCTGTACTTAGGCAAACTCTCAAGGAAGAGAGTGGGAGCTTTGCTGATGAGAGGACTTAATACATAATAAGACACTTAGGGCTAGGCCCAATATGAATAGTGAGATTATGCATTGAGTGGCCCCCATTTACATCAGTGAGATTGCACCAGGTTTTGGCACAGAATTTGGCCCTGCAGCACAGAATTTGGCCCTGCGGTTCTTGCTTCGTTAAAAAAAACTTAGGATATGCACTCACAAACACAGTCGTACATGCGCACACACTCACATTTGCTAGAGCAGGGGTGATAAATGCACCCCACCCCCGGGCCAGATCCATGGGACTTTATGTGGACTGGATTTGGGCGACAGTTAACACAGCTATTGCTTGACCCCCCCACTACTGATATGTATCACCAACAGGGTCTCATGGCCCAGATTTTGGCAGAGGCCCCACTCCCACTTGCCTCCCCGCAAGTTTCTGGGAGCCTCACTGACCAGAATGACACGACTCTGTGGGCAGGCCATATGTTTGACACCCCTGGGCCAGTGCATAGTATTCAAACATACAACTCCTAAGTGGTAGCTGACTGCCAGGAAGATGGGCAAGGGGCAGGAGGAGGGAATCCTATCCCCATGCTAGGAAGTATCTACAAAAGCACTCAGTGGAAGGCATTGCCTCCCAGCATCTGGACTAGCTTCTCTGGTCTTTGAACTCCCATGAGTAGCAGGGACAAAATGGAAACAGCATCTGTGCACCAACATACTTTCTGGTTCTAGCCCAACTATCCTCAAGTTTGCTCTTGTGCTGAACCCCACTTGCCCCTTCCTTGCTGCACAGCTGACCAAGACTATGGGTTGCACACCTTTAAAGATACTCCCTGTAAAATTCTGCCCCCAGTTACATGCTAATATTACCACAGTTCTCTTACCAGCAGAGCCTTGGCAGTCATCAAGTCAGGGGCTGGATTTGCCTCCCTTTGCTTAAGTAATATTTGGCACCACTGAGTAATACACTGTGTTTAACGCATTTCTATCTGTGCATTTCAGTTGTATCAGGATTAGACAGAGCCATACATTTAGATTTCCTTTGTCTAAAGTCCTGTTTCACTGCATTGTTAGTTCAAGATAGAGCCTACATTTTTCCCCTTACCTGGCTTCCATCCACACACAAATCAAGAGGGGCTTTAATTGCAGGCTAGCTGCCCATGGTTTTGGGGGGAGAGGCGGGGATATTAACAGTCTAGTTCAGTGGGAACATGGCTGCTTGTATTATGGCTATTCAGCAATAGTTAAATCAATTGCTCTGAGGAGCCAGTTTTCCTGTGACACTATTAAAACACCATTACAAAACTCCAGTGTTGTTTTTCAGTAGGGTCTCTGTCACTGAAGCTAAACTAAATTGAGTGGGGTAACTGAGGTGTGCTACCTCAAGCAGACTGCTGCAGTACACACCAACTCTAGGAAGGTTAATCAAAACCCAATTCAATCTCTGCATTTTATTTCCTAGAATTTGCTTATTTAAAATAAAAGTAAAACCTCTGATTGGATTAGTCAGCTGTAGGCTTTTAAGTCTAGACGGGACAAGTATGATCTTCCAGTTTAACCTCCAGCATGACCTTCAAATGATTGAATTTCCCGCAATGAATCCTTCAGTGCAAGAAATTATTTTCTGATGCCATGCGAGCAAAAACTATCAAGCCCAATACCCTGTGTTTGAGCTATGTAGATCTATTTTTTAGAAAACCACTCAGTCTCAATGTAAAGGCTTCAAGGGATAATAAATTCACTATATTGCTTGGTGAGCAGCTGCAAAGCTGAATTGTCCTTCCTGATAAAAATTTGCACTTTATTTCCAATTTGAATTCTCCATCTTTCAGCTCCTCATTCTTGTTATACCTTTTTATCATGAATTAAATCACTTCCTAACATCAATTATTTTCTTCTTCAGTATATAGAGTTATGTATTTCATTATTTGGGAGATCCATACACACACACACACACACACACATACATATACATACATACATATATACATATATATGCGTATATTATATATACAATCATGTATATATGAATCATAATCATAAAAAAGTAGGGCTGGAAGGGACCTTTGGAGGCCATGTAGTTGAACGCCATGCCTGAAGCAGGATAATCCCTATCCAAACTATCCCAAGCAAATCCTCGCCTAACCTACGTTTATTACTAAATCTACACAATCAACCTTGTTGCACAACTACAAGGCATAGGACCCTAACCTACTATAAGTAAAGCCGGGGAACAATAGTTGTATGTGTCCTGCTGCTGCAAGTGTTATTAAAATAGGCTCTAGAGATGCAAGGAAGAAGTCCATATATATAGTGAGAGAGAGACAGAGAGAGAAAGAGAGCAAGAGAGAAAGATCTATGTATATATATTTATCAGCACTAAAAAACTATAGCATTCTCTTAATCCTGTGCAATAGTGTGAGCATGACATACATAGATATATTTATATTTATAAACATGCACACATATCAAAAGCATTGTACGAGCATGAGTATAAACACATAAATGTATGTATGTATACACGTGTTTATGTGTTTATATTCATGCTCGCACAATTGCATGGGATTAAGAAAATGCTATTGATTTTTGGTGCTGAGAAGTAAACATTTTTTAAATCTTAAAAATTTCTGTGAAAATTCCATTTGCCTCACAATTTTTGCTATTTGGCAGAAATTATTTAAAATACAAGGTGTGATTTTTCTATACATGATGAAGAACTGTCAGGAAAAACCTACCTTATCTGTGCTCTTGTGGAATGAAAATCACCGCAATGACAGATTTTAGAACTCCACTGGATAATATTGTTATTCTCTTAAAAGGAACAGAGAAACCTTAAACTTCAAGGAACTTCATTTTGCACTGGGTTATAAACATTTGTCAGCCAAATAACTGTACTGTACTCTGTCCTATGTTTATATTAAATAAAATGTTAAATCTAATCTCTCCTGGAAAGTTAAATATTGGCTGGTAACTAAGAGCAATCTAAATGCCTAACAGTATAGCGTAATCTTTGTGTCTGTGGTTACTGTAATGCCATCAGTTTCAAAAGAACATACTCTTTAGAGTCAAAGACTGATGCAACTCCATCTGTATTGACCCATTATTCCACATTACAAGCAAACAATAAAGATGAACTCTATTAAATTAAAAGAAAACATCCCCCTAGTCTAACGTCAGCATGAGGTATTGAATACCATGCAGGAACACAGAGAAAGGACTTTTCTACTCAGCCAATTCCTTCCTTCCTTCCTTCTCCTCTCTAGTCAACAATCCCCTCCCCTCAATTCCTCCATCCCTTTCTTGTCCTCCCTCCATGGGTCGTATTTCAGCTTCTCTGCCCTTAACTCACCACTTCTCAGGCCTTTTCCTTAAATTTCCAAGCTGTTTTTACTATCCCTTTTTGCTTGTGAGGACCATGTCTGTTGTTAATCTGTCCAATCTCCTCTTGGAGCCTCCACTGAGAGAGTATCCCTCAAACATGGGTTTTTGGTTGTAGCCGTGTTGGTCTAAGGATGTAGGCAGGCAAGGTTCTTTGAGTAGATGTGATATATGTTATTAGACCAACTGAGTAGTTGGAAAACAGTTTTTAGCAAGCTTTCAGATGCAGTCACCCATCTTCAGGCACAAGGAGTCTCTGCTGGTCTGAGACTCCCTCAAACATGAAATTTGTCAGACCCAATCTCCTGATAGTCATCTCCTTCCAGAGCAGGCAGGCTGACCCCATGGCATCTCCTAGTTCATCTAGGCCTACAGCCCCCTGGATTTTAATTTAACTTTATTATTTTTGTTCCCAAATGCTTCTACCTTCCCTTCAATAATTTCTAACTATATGAGCATCTATCAGACAGCACCTCTACCCCTCTGCACGCTTCCTTTTGATCATCATCTATAATCTACAGTAGGGCTCATAAAAGATGTCAAGCTGGCAGCTCTTGAAAATGAGGTCCTCTTTTTTCATGTGGCATAGGTATGACACATGCAGGCACAGGGCAAGACTCTCCCTGATATTTCCTTGACATGTTGCAGCCAGACCCTGGGGTGTGAGGTAAAACACATATTTTTTTTTAAAAATGAATTACATTTGAATCTTGCTTCTCAGCAAAACAGGCAGGCATCTGCTGGAGAAATACTGAGTTACAATTAGCAATGTGCTAATGGAGCTAAGGCTTCTTCATATATACTCAGTAGAGGATAAGATGTTTTCTGGCCATGATGAAGCAGCAGCATCTGGTGGTCCCAACTAAGATCAGGCCATGCGGGGTGCATGTGCTGTCTCTTTGTTTTATACAAGCACATTGAGACAGTTCTTCCTCTAGCAAACCTTCCTGGGTTTTTACAGACAATTTTTCCCTCAAGTGATTGCCAAAGGAAATAGGTCGTGCCTTATACCAATCTTTGAAGAACTAGATAAAAGGAGGACGAGTTTATTAACATATCATCAGCCCTTTCAGAGACTGTCGATAAATACTCTTGAGAGAGAAACACGTTCATCCTTGCTAACACTTCACTGAAGCTAAGGCCATGTTGCTGACATTGTCATGGTTACTGTTATTGCCTAGGCAAGCTTATTCTTCCTACATGAACACCTCTGCGTGGGGGTGGGCTCCTGGCAGCATTTGTTTTGAGTTCCCGTGCTGCTGTTCAACTGCTCTCCTAGGTACGTGCATCTAACAGGCTTCACCAGCAGCAGGGGGTGCAGGGGGTAGTA